CCAAAATGCGCCTAACAGTTTATAACCCGAGGGTATGAAAGACAAAACTGAAGTAAAAATTTGCTAAATATATTTCAGTTTAGTTTCTTCGACTTTCTCTCATACCATGTCTCACTAAAATAATTAATCAATTCATTTTGTCTTTATGACTTAGTCTTGTTATCCTTACCTTATCGTGTTTTTCACTTATCATTCTCCCTTCTCTATCCCCCTCTCCATCATATTTACTTCTCTCTTTCTCTTTAACTATCCCTCCTTTTCGATCTTTTTATATTTTTTTCTATCTCTTTCTTCTTTTTCACTGCTCACTGTATCTAGCTCTTTCTTTTTATCTCTGTATTTCATTTACTCTCTCTCACCTTCTCTCTCTATTACTTAACTTATTACTTATTTTCTAGCCTCTCTCTCTCTCTCTCTCTCTCTCTCTCTCTCTCTCTCTCTCTCTCTCTCTCTCTTACACACTGTCTTTCTCTCCATTTCTTTCACTGTACTTTTCTTTACTTCTTTTTCCCACTGCCTTTCTCTCTCTCACGTTTAATATTCTCGTAACCACTTTCGCACACTCTTTTCCTCTATTTCGTTATCTTTCTCTCTCACTGTCTCACTCTTTCTCTTTCTGTCACTCTCTCTCGCTGCCCCATTCGCTCTATCTCACTTTCTCTCACTGCCTTCCCACCTTAATCACATTTTCTATCTCTCTATTTTTTCTTGATTTTTCTCATTTTATTTATCTCTTTTTTTCTTCTCTTTCTCCTTCCATCTATACACCCATCTCTATTGATCTATTTTCTATCCTTCTGCTATAATATTTATTTAAAAAAACCTCTTATACATAGTTACAACATTACTTACGTTAAATTACGTAAAAAATATTTCAGATTATTTCTATAGTATAACTATATTTTAATTTTGTAGATTTATTTTGTTGTTGATAAGTACTTACAGAAACAATTTAAATATATATTGCGGTAAGTTCGAAAATGTATACAAAATGATGTAAACATTCCATAACGCTTGAGCTATTGTTAGCATATTCTAATGCTCAGTAACAAACCATTTTAAATTGCTTCACTTAGACCCAAGTGGTTTTTAATCATTGTAAGCCTTGATTACGTTATAAACAAATTCAGTTATAAGCTACAAAAAAATAATAATTTTTTTACCTTGTATGTGTGCTTAGGAAACAACTGAGACAAGTCCCTGATGATGATGTATGTGTCTGTTCCTATATATCAATTTATCTATTAATACATGTAGCTGATATAATTTTTGCCAAATAACATTTAAAAATCTCTTCGCTTATCGAAGATTTGCCTCGTTACATAACATTGCGTGTACTGTGTTATTATTATTATCGTAGCTATCACGGAAAACATTCACATTAGAAGTTCGTGTACAATACAAACAATACAGGGAGTAAAAAATTGAATTTGTAAAACGAAAGTGTACCGACGTTTGTGATACTTATTACACAATTGAGTCATAAGTGCCCGATAAAATTTGAGAAGTTGCAGGTTAATTAATTGAGATTATATATGCTTACAAATTAATGTATGGAATGAGAACTGCTATATTACTTCACCCTAGCACTCATCGTGTAAATTTTTTGTATTCCTGCTTATTCACTAGGTTCCACTTCTTCTGTAATAATTCCGTGAAACGTATTGTATATCATCAGTCTGGCTGGATAGGTTCTTTTTTTAATCATACGCATTTTAAGAAGTTCCAAGAGTTCCATTGCAGTAGCCTCGACTTGAATCTTCGTCGAGCCTCTCTCGAAAAATGCTTGGCTCGATCATCGCCGTACTCACCATTTCGTCTTTATATACCTGCAGTTCTCCTTTCTATAAAACAGGTCCTCAGCGTACACTCGTTCTTCTGGAAGTGTTGGAACCACTCTCCCAGATCCATACATTTACTGGATCTGCGAATCGTTATCTCGAACTACGCGTAATAATATTAACAATATTAACACGACAACTATCACTATAAGAACCACATGATGCTCGGCCCCATAGAAACATGGGCACATGAAATAACTAATACACATGCAGATGCAACAGAAATAATGTCTCAATTTCAAATAACCTAGCAGCTCTAAGGGCTTTCCGGATCTGCCAGACTTGTCGACTCAAAACTTGTCTGGAACATGCTTCATGGCATAGAAAATGAGATCTCGAAGTAGTCTAACATTAATGTGGGTCCCACATCATGAGAGAATGTCGGGCAACGAACCAGCAGATGTATTTGCTGAAAAGATAGCTTTCGAACGACTCATAGGTCGCAATTAAACGCTTTAAACATTAAAAAGGAACTGGACATTAAAAAGGTAACTAATGAGAACACAATACTGAAAGCAAAAACAATTAGGAGAAAGCGGAAATCATAATTAACAGAAAGTAATTAAAAACTCTAACTGGTATATTTACAAAGCATGTTTCAGTGAACAACAACCTAAATGGGATACGTAATACAGGACCTAATAAACAAATGAACAGATGATCATTGTCAATTATACTTCCCTGCGATAGCACGGAAAAGGCCTTGGTACCCGGGAAGACAGTTTTTGAACCCCACAAATCTTGATACCAACCCATAGGAATAATTCCTTAATTCATAAAAGAAACTTAAATTTTCCCGACATCGGCACAATAGACGAAAGTTTAAGGGAGGAATCGCCACGACTTCAATAGGGACGGAATAAATAACTTTGGGGACATTTCTTTTTTCATCTAACTTATCTACACTGCCCTCGTGGACCAGATCGTATTCACCCACTAGTTCTATACAACGCAGATACTTTAGTACCGGTTCTTTGCAACATATTTCTTGTATCAAGGTGTATTTCCTCGTTAGTAGAAAGTTTGCTTTGTTATTTCTTTCTATTTCTTTTGTTTCAAAGGCGAAAACAAGTTTTCTTACAAAACTCTAGTCTGACATATTTTTGTTATTTGAAAAAAGTATTCATATCACATATTTTTCAATGGTTCTTACATCACCTTCAACATGGGTTTAAAAATATCGCTCTATTTCAACAATTCTTCCTACTTTTTTCAATTCCCTATCCATACATACATCTTGAATGTAGCAATCAAGTCGATTAACATAGTTAATCTTTTTTCGTGAACATTGACGATATTAAATCTTCTAGCATAAAAATGGTAGGCTATTTATGTCGTGACTCCACTGATCTCACCTGCAACGTCTTTACTATTCTGCACATCTATGTATATCTATATTTATATATGTGATATAGCGTGTCTCTTCTTCTTTTTTGTTGGGCCCAACCCTGAATTCGGAAAACCGAAAACAAGGTCCCAGAGGTTTTTTACGATCGGACCTGACGACAATTATTTCATTTATCGTTCAGGCACCTTTTATATTTCATTTAAACCAAAGTAAATACGACACCAAATATTTGTTAAATTTGAATCTTTAATTACAATTTATTTTCACATAAAATGACAATATATTTTATTAATTATTATTTTTAATTTAAAGAAACCTTTTACCCTATAACAAACCTATCTCAAATCTACAAACCTTAATTTTAAAATGGAATTTGATTCTCGTTTTATAGTTCCATAAAGAAAGGTAAAGAAATTATTATTATTATTGTTATTATTATTAAAATTTTGACCACCAAATTAGAAAATAGAATTAAAATATTAACACAACTTTTAAAATGAAATGTTAATTATTTTATTTTTCTTTATAAAAATATATACCCTTTTAAAACTAAATTACAATTATTATTTTTTTATTTTGACGTCAAAGTAATAAAAATTAACTCACTTGAATAGTGTGCACACCAAATTTTTCTTTTTTACCAAAAATAGCTGTTTACCCACACATGCTAGAAAGGGATATCTTCTAGGACTTGAAAAAATAGCCCTTTCATGGCCCCTACTCCTTTCACTGTTTGAGTGTGTGGAAGGGCATGGCGGTTCATTTAAATCTGAACGTGACATATATATTAATATAACATATTTTATGTTATATTCTCTTCCTTAATTCTACGACTCTTTATTATTTATTACAATAGAATTTTTTACATAAAAATGATTTAACTTGTATTTTTGAACTACGGTTCTAATTCAACACATTAACATCAGCATGTATTGTTTTGTAAGTTGTTACATTTATCCGAACTATATATGATTTTTAACCTGTAAAACGTAAAAATGATATTTTAGTCTTATAAATAAATAAGATGGCGTTTAAACCAACGATTATTCAGAAATCGTGTGATGCCGTCTGGTGTGATGTAGTTTTCAGAAAAACATTTTGTTTATCGTACCAACGTTTCGATCTTTATTGAGATCATCTTCAGGGCCTGGGATTTACAAACATTGTTTAAATTTAACAAATACTTGTAGGATGTGGAAAAAAGTGAATTTATACAATGCAAAAAATATTTTTTTTTATTCAATCAATGTATTTCTACTCTCTCAAAGTGTTTGTTTTCTGCGTAAGTGTGCCATTCTTGCGTGTCGTATTGAGAGTGCCAGTGAGATATTGCTGTTTTATGTTTAAATACGTTGGATTTTGAAGGGGTGGGGAAGTCGGTATAGAAAGACATTTGAATAAAGATCGAAACGTTGGCACGATAAAGAAAATATTTTTCTGAAACCTACATCACACCAGACCGCATCTCACGATTTCTGAATAATCATCGACTAACGGTCACTAATCACCACACACACACACACACACACACACACGCTTAAACCAACATTACCGATGAGCTGTGCGTAACTGTATCCAATGCGCCGTGAAGTATTTGCCTTTTGTTGTAGAAAATTCAAAGGAATTGGTGAATAAATGGAATCAATCATTATTTATTGCTTACTGATCTCTAATTTTGTTCATAAAATGTAAGTTAAATTAATGGTTGAAACAGAATCCAACCTCTTCTTATAATATGTTTTTGTATATTGTTTTTAAATTATATAAAGCTTAAATATTAAGTTAGTCCTAATGTAAAACTTGTTTTTCAGCCATGAAAGCTGCTATTCTGATACAACAATGGTACCGTCGCTATTTAGCAAGAATGGAAGTGAGGAGGCGATATACGTGGACCATATTCCAAAGTATTGAGTACCAGGGTGAACAGGACCAAGTAAAGGTAAGTTCAGAATGATTTGACACGTGATGTAATAAAAATGCCTGGAAGAAAATGTAACTTTATTTAAACTAGTTATACCAGGTAGCCAAATATGTTCGTATTGGGGATTAAGTGTCACAATTAAAATTCGTTTAGAATTGTTTTATTCTGGGAATTAGTCTCCATAGGTATCTAAAACCCTCTCCCAACCATTTACTAGCCAAGTCGTGCCTTTTCTATAAAAGAAACTTGTGTCCCGGGGCTTAAAAATATATTCAGTTCATTTTCAAGCTGTTGGCAATTTTCGAACTTTCAAATGCGCATATTTTGATAAGAAAAGGCGAAAATCATGTGAAACCAAGTCTAGAGAGTACGGAGGGTAGGACTTTCCAACTATTCCTCATTATCAACTCGCGTTGTCCGGATGAAAAATTACACCTTTTCTATTCACGAGAGTATGTAGTTTCTGGGCCAGGGCAAGAGATACTCGTTCGAGTTGGTTTCAGTATATTTTGGCTGTGGGGGTTTGGCCAAGTAGCGTAGTGCACAATGCCCGCGATACTCTACCAAGCATAAAGCATCATATTTTGTTGGTGAATATTTGGTTTTCGCATCAATGGGACAGTGTCATTCGGTGTCAATGACCCGACCTCCTGATGTCCCTTACAGGATTTTTTTGTCGCATATGTCAATCCAAACAAAAAAACATTTCTACTTTGTTCTGGGAAAACAATAATAACCAAATTAGGGGGGCGTCGGTGGCCGCAAGGTTTAGTCTTTGACACGGCGCTCATCACTGTAAGGTAAAGGTCCCGGGTTCGAATCCAGCGGCCCTGCATTCGAACCCGACATACTTACAAACGGGCTTTTTTTCAAAAACACCGGCACCCTGAGGGTTTATATGACCTCTGCTGTTGCGAACCCTCGTAAAAAAAAAAAAATCTTAAGACTGAAGCTTTTTACCGCCGGTCAATTTATGAGGAACCCATTTGCTCAGCAGTCAAAAATCAGACCGTCGTTCATACTCAATCCCGTCAGTCAATTATACCCTGGGTATGTTGATGTAAACATCTAATACTCCTATGTAAATAGAAATTTTAATTAACAATTTCAATTAATTATACTTTTGATGTAAGGTCTTGGTTTAGATGAAAAGGTAAGTGTCGCGATTGGGATTTGAACCCACGACCTTCGGCCAGGTTTGAATCCTGCTCGTGACACTAACTTTTTCATCTCAAACAAGACCTTACATAAAAAGTATAATTAATTGAGTAATTTGGTCAATTAGGCCACTAAACATAAATTGGCTAATTAACAATATTGAAACAATAATAAATGAAAGATTGCACTGACTTTTCAAGTAACTTGGTGTACAATTTTGTATATCTATGTAAATAGGCAAATTTTTACTAATCATTCGACAATTTTAAATCAACTACACTCCATTTTTGTCATGTATTCAGATTAATTTGCGTAAGTAACAGAGAAATTTAATGGCATAGAATGCGGTTGGAAGAATTCGTAACTTCATTGTAGGTCGTTTGCAGAACATAATAAATAGACAGAAGTTTGTCCTCTGGTCGGAGGGACAGGGTACGTTGCGTGTTCAGCCGACACTAAAGAGCACATATTAGCAGAGCAGTAGTCATTATTCGTAAGAGTTAAACCAGACTGGACTTATTGAACCGTTCTTGGGTGTATTACAAGAGATCCGGCCGGAAAATTATAAGTCTGGCTGGTAGATTACATCGTCTATAATTGTCCAGCCATACAACAGCTCCGAAATATCTACTTGATAGATCGAATAGTCACGCAAATTAACCTTAAATTATTTTTCAAAATCTTGTTAGATATTTTTAAGCTAATAAAACTGATAGATTTAATTTTGATAATGAAAAACAATACGCGATAGGAAAAGTTAATGCCGTGTAAAACGGCTATTCAAACTCAGCTACGAATTAAACTCAGCTTACTACACTTTCACAACGATGTTCATTTGTTATCCCGTTAGATGTGTTCTCTGAATCCACTTTCACCACTTGTGATTAAAAGTGATTAATAAGAAAATGAAGAAAAGAAATGCCGAAATTTAGCAAGGAATCACGATACCGGTAGTCCACACAATTCACAAATAATAAACATTTCATGGCAAAAACATCTTTCGCTATTGTGTTTCACATATTTAACAACAGCCTTTGAACTTCAAAATAAGAAACACGGTATTAAAATATTACTAACAAATCTTGTTATACAACTTGAACAAAAGGATCTTCAGTGAGATCACAACAAAAACGACAACTCTTTAAGTCTTTATCTTATATCGTCGGCGTCAGGGCCTATTTATTTTAGCATAATATCGCAGTTAGAAACATGCTATGTCGTTTAAACAAACAAAATTACAAAAAACAATTATCTTACTTTAAATAGATGAGTGTTTAAATATATCTGGAGAGCAAGAAACTACATATATAATAAGAATAAATAAAATTAGTGAAGCTCAGTATCTAAAAAAATGAACAGTGTGGAGTTAATTGAGAACAATAAAACAATATAATATAAAAATTTAAAAATTGTTTAAAACCACAAACGTGGTCCTATAGGTTACCTCGGTTAAAATAACTAAAAGTACACGTCTCTTTTTTTAAAATAAATAATAAAATTACGTTTTTTCCTTCAGGTACATTAGAATATCACAGTTAAATCCCCTTTAAATAATTTTTAAATTTTATTATAATATAATTACAAACTATATTGTTTTATTGTTTTTAAGTAGTTCGATACATCATCTCATCTTTAAAACTTGTTATAATAAATCATAATAGTGATAACGAATTTTCCCCTTTTTTCTGTGTAAAAGTAAAATAAAAACATTCGTAAAAACGTAATATCAATTATAGCCTCGATATTTCTTTCGTAATGTTGGCAAGGGCGATAAAAAATTTTGTTGCCTGACGCGGTTATGCACGAATGTAAATCTGAAATATAAGAACAACTTGCCAAGTTCATAGAATAAATTATACTCTGGGTGACCTTTGGAAAAAACATTATATAAAAGCTGAGATTCCTATAAACAAACCATAGTTGGATGTCGTACAATATAAGAAACATTTTGGACAGCTGTAAATAACTATCCATTTCAGTTAAGTTGATTTTGTTTTTTCGAATATTAATGAGATATAGTCAACATACAAAAAATACTACATCTATAAATAACAGTATTTATTATTGTTTACTATGAAAGTGGACGGAAACAATGATTTTCTGGCGAATAATTGGTGAAAAAAGCAATTGGCTACCAAATTAAAAATTCTATGAATTATTAAAACTATTAGTGTGATTTTAACCCAAAAATGTTAAAACGCTGAGCAGAAATTGTTGTTCATTTTGAATAGTCATCTGCTGGAATTTCTGAACGTAAAATGAAACAATAATTTAAAATAAATCACAAAATAAAGCAGTTGGGATAAAAGCCTAATAATTAACAATTAATTAATAAATATGTTTGTGGTTGTAGTAAAACTTGGGTACATTTCAAAATCGTACTTTTTGGGAAAAGCTTTTTAAGTATTTTTCTTCCAAAATTGGGAGCAAATAAAATTTTCCGCGAATATGCTTTGAATCTCTCCAAATTGGCATAATTTTTTTGAACTAGGTTTGTAATTACCCTTTCTTATAACTCGACTTCCAGTATTTTTGACTTAATCGATTTTCAATTCAATCGCAGGATTAATAAACATAATTCATCAATTGCTGATTAATTATGAGTGAAGATTTAAAAAAGTATTTCTACACAGTACATAGCAAAATACATATTAGAAATTTTATGGTTTGCTCACTAGATTGATACTATGGTTAGCGCACCACTAAAAACACACGTCTTAAAATAAACCAGACAATGTTGGCACACACATTTCTTAAGATAGGAAAGTGAAGGTCGAATTAGGAGAGTAGGAACTTTTTAAAGTCAGATCGGATCAGTTCGTTGGAAAAAGGAATGTTGAAGTTGCAGATAGTGAAGTTTGCTATGTAGAAAAAAGCATTGACAATTTTTCTAAGTACTTTTGATCGGAAGGTTTGGATGCAATAAACATTGGATGGCTTGCCGGAGCCCCACAGTTCCACTCCTTATGTCCAAATTGGTAGAATTTTTATTTATACGGTTAGTCGAGATTAACTATCTAAACAGATTTCAACCCACAAAGTCTTCCTGGGGTCCAAGTTTTTGTTCAGTTGTTAGTCTTATGTGGGAATTCCACATCAGTCTGCTGTGGTATGTCTGATCCTATCTCACATAAGTAAAGTCTGTAGCTCCCTGTTGTTGAAGAACAGTGAAAAGCAAGACTTTTTTTTCAATTATTGCAGGGAAGTTTTACTCATTAGTCCTTTACTTTTATCACCAGATATATATAAGCTCCAAGGTATTTTTGGATGATGGATGATTTTTAGGTAGGATTGTTAAATTTGGTACCAAAGAGCCTTTTCCCCGGCCTTTTTCATTATATTTAATATATCTTTCAAAATCTTAATGAGTAACTTTTTTGAATAGTTGGTAATGAAAAAATTAATTTTTACAATTAACAGGTAATTTTGGGGACGTCGGTGGGCGCAACGGTTAGGTCTTAACACGGCGCTCATCACTGTAAGGTAAAGGTCCCCGGTTCGAATCCAGCGGCCCTGCATTCGAACCCGACATACTTACAAATGGGGGCTTTTTTCCCCCGGCATCCCGAGGGGTTGATATAACTTCTGCTGTTGCAAACCCTCGTAAAAAAAAAGAAGTAATTTTACATTGGTGATAATTGTCGTTTACAACCGTTTACAGCTGCTTAATAAGGGCAGCATTTCTGTCATCGCCAAATCTGACATTATTTATAGAAATAAGAAAATCTTGCTTAAACTTTTTGTTTACGTGGGTATTTCTACTACGATGTTATAAGCCCCTTTTGTAAGTATGTCGAGTTCGCTGTTCTGCATTCGAACTTACGTCCTTTATCTTATAGTGACTACTGCGCCCCCACTGC